GTTGCGGTGGTTTTGGCCGCCTTTATATTATTTTGTAGAATACCATACTTTGTATCATGTGTCCAGAGACCACTGAAATGAGTGAAAGTGTTGTATTGAGAACCGGATCTTTTACGTTTTAATTTGTTTAATTGGACTTACCGAAGGTCGCGGCCAAGCTTTCTGTGTTTTTACTTACTAAAAGTGGAATCATGTTCTGGAAAGACCCTTATGGCGAGTGTTTTCTTGATATCCTCATGTCTCTTTGGTGACCCCCACTGTTGCGAGACACAGAAGGCCCTCTGGGCGGTTGCGTGGGGGTGCTGCCGCGTGTCCACAGGTGGATTCTGGCTGGTGATGGCGTGCCTGCGTTTTAGGGGTCTTAGTGGTCTTGTGTGATGAGCTGGGGTGGGCTGTGCCCACCCTCATAGCCTGAGACCTGTTGGGCGCTCTCCCGCCCATCCTATGCCAGCTGTTGCCCCGGCAGCTGCGGGCCAGGCACGGGAGGGACGAGAGGCGCCCTCCGCAGGTGGCTGTGCTCTTGGGCTCTGGAGCTGACTGTGCTCCCCCTAGCGGTCGGTGCCTGCAAATGTTCTCAGCCCGCCAAATTCGGCTTGAGTTTGCGCGTGCGCACAGTTAACACTTGTGTCCTGTCAATCAACTCCTCCTTACCCCCTCCCACTTCTCTCCCTCCTCCCCTCCCACTTCTCTCCCTCCTCCTCTCCCATTTCTGCCCTTCCTCCTCCCCCTCCTATTTCTCCCATCTCTCTGACCCCTCCCATTTCTCCCCTTCCCCCTCCCCTCCCGTTTCCCTCATCCTCCCCTTTACCCCCTCCTCTTTCTGACTCCTTCCTCCCTCTGTACCCCTCCCTCTTCCCTCCTCACCCCTCCCACTTCCCTCCTCACCCCTCCCTCCTCCTTTCTCTTCCACTCCCCCCTCCTTTCCCTCTGACTGCCCCCTCCCTCTCTCTGCTGTTCCTGCGCTGGCCATTAGAGGTCATCAAGATGGTTTCTAATATGGCCCCCTCCTATGCTATAGGTTCTCTCTTCAGGGATGACATCACCATTCACCTCCGTGTCTTCAAGGACCACCTGTCGATGCCCAGCTGCTGCCAAGGTGCTTGCTGCTCATCTCCACCTTACGGTATGCAACCCCTCCTTGTGGTGGTTTATGTACAACATGGCGGCCAAATCCACCCCTGCCACACTCCTCCCACTATCCCCGGACCCATGAGCAATTAAAGGACAATTTTAAATTTTAACTAATTAGTTTTAGTTAGAATTAACTGATTTAAATTTTAATTAATACCTAGAATTGGGCTTTTGAGTGGTTCCTTTAACCTTTGATCAATTGCAGAAGACCTCAGGAGCACCCATTTCTGGATCCCACCAGTATACCAAGCAGCCACTGGCAGAGACCCCACAGGACCAGGACCACGGAGGCTGAAGAGGACCAGAACTGACCAAGCAGCTGTTCCTCTTGGCTAAAGACTTAATCCGATGCCCTAGTGAGGGGGCATTGGACATTCACCCCTGACCTTTGCTATGCTTGTGCCTATTGCTATGAATACTTTCCTGTAAGTCTCTGCTTGTGTTAATATGCCAGCGACCTGGAGTGTTTCCCTCCCCAAGAAGGTGTCAGTTTTTCTCAGCTGACCCTATTGTTGCCCGGATGATGTCCTGAACAGAAGGACCCCTTTGGGAACTTCTCAGGAGGGGGACCTGGGCCAAGGGCTCCGCCAGCATCTTACTGGCATTTCCAAAGCCGTGGTGGGCTTCTGGAATGAGCATGAGCCCTGACGTCATGGGCATCCTTGTCCTTTCCGGGGAATGGTGATGAGAAGAGCAACCTCCTAGGGTTGTTGTGAGTATTAAATGAGCCAAATTAGCTGGGGACAGGGCTGGGCATGAGGAGGTGTTCAGCAAACATTTGTTGAAAGTTTGATAGGTCAGTCCATCCCCATCAGTGTCACTTGTCTGATGCCTCTTGTTTATCTTCCCCACAGCTCTCCGCCAGCCCCTGTCCACGGGGCTCTCCTGCACAGGTAGGGCGCCACCAAGAAGGGGGATGGGCTGACTTGAATAGGAACATCTATTATGCATGCAGTCATTTCCAGAGCACTTTCTATGATCTTTGAATATGTTATTTCTATGTCAGACATATAGGTGGTGATCATTTACAGATAAGAATGAATTTGGCCTTGACTTGAGTCATTTTATAAAGGTGGGTGGGGATTCAATGGCCCTTCTATGGGACAGGATTTATTCACATTTACAGTGAGGGCACTGAGGCTGGAGGAACGTAAGTATTTTGTCATACTGCTGGCAAGACGAGGGGTCAGAGTTGGACCCTGGGTGACATTGTAGCTACCTCTTACCCCCCTGGCCCAGAGTTAGACTCAGAGCTCTTGATTTCTAATCAAGCATTTGACAGCAGGACCGTCTGTTTGAAATCCTAGCTGCCTAGGGTGGCCTTGGGGGTCTGGGTGGCCCCAATGCTGCTACCATGTGCTGGCTCCACCTCAATAATGGTGTGACCTTACACAAGTGGCTTAACTTCTCCAGGTCTCAGTTCCTTTCATGGTCTAAATGAGGATTAAAAATTAAAAAAAAACCCACCCGCCTTTATCTACCCCACACGGTGCTTTTGAAGACCAAATGATGTAACTACTGGGAAAGTGCTTTGCAAATTGCTGTGGAAATTGCAAGGTCCTTAACACTCTGATTGTTCGCATGCCTGGCCCTAGTAATTGGGCGAGCACCCAGTAGGTGCTGTGAGTGTGTGCGCTCAATAAATAAATTTCAAAATGAATAAAAACAGAATTAATTCAACAAACCTTTTCTGAACACCAACAATGTGCCCAGCACACCAGGCCTGGTACGTGACACAAAGATGATGCAAACAGTCTCTTGGAAGCTAATTGGGGTCCTCATTTGACCAGCACTTTTTTTTCGTCCCCTTTTAAGCCAAGCAGTTTTGTCCAGACAAGACAAAAACAACTCAGGCCGCTTTGAGAAGCCCAGCTTGGTGTAGACAATAGCTCCCGGGCCTCTGAAAGGGCCTGATTGGATTATATGGCAAATGAAGGTGGAAGGGTGACTTGGAAGGTGACGAATGAAGTGGGCGGAGATCTGCTTTGAGTTAATCCAGGCTATTAGGAGGGAACCTTTTGTCTTCCAGAGGCTTTTGCCACTGCTTTTTACATCCTTAATGTAAGGACGCATAATTTATGGTCAGTGAAATCCAGGCCCCAGTGAGATCTGAGTGGGCTGTAAACTCAGGCCTCCCACGACCAGCGAGTAAATACAGTGAACTGTTAAGTCTTCCTTTGCCATTTGCAAAGGCCTTTTTGCAATTGTCAATTCATTTGAACCTCACAACTCCCTGTCCCGACCCGGGGCTGGCCTACCGCCTCCCAGGGGATCTGAGGCTGTCAAGGGGCCCTTCAGATTGGGGTCCACACGCATTTGCACCCCCCTTGCCTCTTGCGTTGTAAAGGAAGAGGTGCCCTCTGCACTGGTCATTCCTGTCTCACCTCCAGCCTCCACTTATCCCCTCCGACCTCCTAACTGCTCTCTCTGCAGCCTGAGCCTCCGGCTCCTCCTGTCTGGCCACTATCGTCTCTCTCTTTCCTTTCGCAGCCACGCTTCTCCAAAGGCCTGTCTCCACTTGCTGTCTTCCTTCCTCACCTCCAATTTCCTCTTCAATCCACTGCTTCCTGCCTTCTCTACTCCGTCGAGCGGCTTTCACTAAGGTAATGACTTTTCGGTAGCTTAAGCCTAGGCAGGTTCCAGCTCATGGACACAGGACACATTTCCAGTCTTCCTCTCATGTGGCTCTTGGGCCCGGGTTCACACCTATTGACATGCACTCCCTCTAGAATCCACAGGGACCCCTGCCCCACCCAGCATCCCTTCTCTTAGGACCTCAGGTAGCCAGAGCTCCCAACTTCTGTACCTTGCCCTTCACCATCCCTCCTTGGAGTTGAGTCCTGGCTGACCCACCCTAGTGCTGAGGCCCTAAGTTAGGTCAGTTTCTCCAAGCCACTTTTTTCTCAGTCACAAAATAGGATTAATAATGTTCACCTGGCAGGTCTGGCGAACTCTCTTGCAGGTAAGAACCAGACACTATTTGAGGGACTTGAAATAAGGTTCATTAAAGTATTCGTGAGAAAATTCAATTAGAGCCACCAGCAGATTTTCTTACAGGTAAAGTTCCCACGGGGAGGACCATAGAGAGAAGAAAGAAGTGGGGGGAGGAGGGGTGGAAGAGGTGGGAGAGAAAGAAAAGAATGAGAAAAGGCCCCAAAGACAATAAAGTAGGGAAGGGGACTTAGAAAATATTAACATCGACGGAAAACACAGCTAGGGAAAGGTTTCCTCCAGTGTCGGGTTGGGCTAAAATAAACAGGAAAAAGCTTTTAAATTAATGATCCAACTGACAAGTCCCAGGAAGCTTTCAAATCAAATTGCCCCGTTTTGGGGTTTTAACTCCTATCAAGTTTAACCTCTTTACCGCCTTCATCCTGGTTAAACTCTCCCTGGCCCCTGGGCTGGTGATTAAGTCCTGAAGGTACACATGGTCTTTCAATGAATGAATGGCCAACAGAAAGCCCTTCCCCTCCCCCCAGCTGTGTTTTTCAGTTTCCTTGCACTTTCCGCCCTTTTCCCTTAATGAACACAGGGCTAGTCTTGGCCCTCGTCAAGGAAGAGGCTGCAGACGCTAATGAGGGAGCTGCTGGGCTCCAGTGTTCCTCTCCTAAGGAGCCTTCTTTGTCTGTGAAGGAAAAACACACTGATTATCATAATGAGGTGAACTGCCGTCTGCAGGGCAGAGGCGATGGTCCCAAGGCCACACTTGTAATTTCGGGGCCGGGGCCCAGGGTTCCTTTGCTCCTCATTTCAGCCTTGGCGAGGCCCATTGAGTGGGGCTGAACGCAGAAGGCAGCTTTGGGGAGAGGGTTGCTTTGCAGAAGGTTCCTTTGTTGGGCCTGGCGGGCAGCTGCACTGGGCCAGGGGCTGCCTGCCTGTGGGATTCACTCACAGATGAGGACATGGGGTGCAGGGCTCCCACTCCAGCATGCACCTCACTTGTTTCAGCATCCACCGGACATGAAAAGCATGCCATGTCACAGGTGTAGGGCCCGGGGGATTATCACAAAGGCACCCCCCTGGAAGGGCATGGTTTGGGGTTCACACTTTGGTCCTGCATTCTGAGGAGAGTGAGGTCCAGAGCACCAGAGGATTGCCAAGGGGACTTTACAATAGATCTTGCATCAGAACATGTCCTATCCCCTCATACGGCCTGCGTCCCACCTGAACCCCCTTCTATCCTGATACTTGAAACTCCCCCTGCCCGTTAATGTCAGCAGGTCTGGCCAGAGCCTGAAACTTGCCCCGTGTGTCTCCAGTTCTGGACATTTCCCACCCCGAGGTAGATCAATCAGTTAAATTAGGTTATTTTAATTACACGTCAGGCTCTGGCCAGACCTGCAGCCACATGGAAAAAAACTAAGAGGGAAGCGGGGTGCTTGGAGCGAGAAAACTTGATTAGTAGGAGATTTACGCCTCTCCCTTCACTTACCTGTCAGCTGAAGGCCTGAATCAGAGTTCTGCCCTCTTCCCAAGTTAGCAAAACCAGCTCTCATCCGGCTCCCCAATAAAAAGGTTGAAGGCCCTACCTTAGAGGTGACCCAGATGTTGCCCAGATGAGGGGACTCGAGAGGAAAGGAATAGAACAATTTCTGGTGTTTCTAAATGAGAGGATGCATTTTAATAGGGAAAAAAAAATTCAGAGGACCCTTCTCACCTCAAATTTATACTGATAATTAAAATACAAGCCCAAGGTCACTGGTATTTCAGCATTTGAGCACCTGAGGAGGGGTGGAAGGCATTAGTTGGCCGGGATCTTGAGCGGGGGCGGGGGGGGGGGGGGGGTTTGGAGAGGGTGCAGGCCAGGCTGAGGGACCCCACCAGTGCACAACTGGGGCCAGGGAGGGATGCGGGAGATTGACCATCCAGGGAGGGACTGTAGGAGGGCTCCAGGGTGTGTCTGGTCCATCCCTC